ATACGAAGGAATCAAAGTTAATATCGCAATAGAAAATTGTTGAATAAGAAATGAGCAATGAATAGTAAATTATTTACTGATATAAAATAATACAATTAAATAAGTAAAACGTATATCAAAGACCAACAACAATAAGTATTACAAATTATAATAAAATTATTCTTTTTTTAAATTAATTGTATTTTAATAATGCTTCATTCTGTCGTGATGTTATCTTAAACTTATATTTTTCCAAAAATTTAATAAAAAAAAAACCTTTAAAAAAAGAGATACTTATGTTAGCATTTTCAATAGGCTATCAGATCATATACTTGACGTACCTTGTTATCTGAAGCATATAATATGACTTATAAAAGCAATAAAAGCCCGATGATATAGACTCAACTAATCGAAAGCTTTAGCAGTGGGTAGTAGCAAAGAGGCCTCTTGCCTTAGTACGGTCCAAAAGAGATGAATTCCAATTTACAGAATGGACGGGTTGCCATACCGACCGCCTAATCAATAAATCCTATCTACGAATAACGTGCCGTCTCTGCACTTGCAGATGAAAAGTAAAACGTTTGTTATCAAACTTTTTTTTTTTCAAGCAAGTAAGAATAATCATAGACAACATTAGTCATAATTATGTTAAACACACAAAAAAATATATTATTTACTGAACAATGATTAATTGATACTTTTAATTTTCTTTTTTAGATATTAATGCTATGCAAGAATAAAATATTTGTCAAGTAGAGACACACTTACTTTAAAAATGTAAATACTTAAGATGGTGGAGAAATAGTTCATAACAGTCAAATAGAAAAATAAATCGGCGGCGATTTTATTACTTTGCTATCGTTACTTTATAATTTGCTATATAATTTTTAAAGGTTTTATAAAGCATATATTTTCCATTAATTAATTATTAACTTTACTTTTTACTACATTATTAATTATATCTGTCTTATTATTTTTTTATTACTTGCACATGTTAGCGTAATTTATAGAATATTTTCATGTGTTACCTACCAGACAGCCCTTATAATGCCGCTATCATTTTTTTTTTTCATTTTTAGTTATATTAAAGCTAATTATTTGTAATATGTTTCGTTTGGTCATTACCATGTCTTTCCTAACCCCTGAAGGCCTAAAACTTAGGCCATAACGTCGGCATAAAAAAAGTAAAATTTATTTCTATTTTTCTCTGTGACTGCAATCCTCTAATAATTTCTCAATCTCTCAATCAAGTCTATATTTACTATTGTACATAAAACAGGTGGTAATTATACAGTTGTTAAATTAGTATTATAGATAATAAATTTTTCCCTGTTTATTTCCGTTTCATGTTAAACCTATAGCATTTTCTTACATTCAATTTAATTTTTCTGCAATGAATCACTCTTATTTTTTATTTATTTATTATTTATTGAATAGTGACACAATCTGCCACACTGAAGGACAATACGCATAGGAACTGAAAGTGACCAATCATACTATATAGTATAGTATATACTATAGTATCTACAAGAAAAATGAACGAAAGTAATTTAAAACAAATTAAAAAATAATGATAACTTAAAGAAAGTATAATGATAAAAGTAAAAAAAAATGACATCTCAAATTTATATATATTTTATTTTATATATATATATAGATAGATAGATAATATTTAAATATTAGAGCTACAGGTTGAAATTCATTACTTTATATCATTGATACAATATAGAATTTATTATTTATTTATTAAAGTTTTTCCATCACTAGAGACTTTGACACTATATAATATATGTACTATCGCAATTAAAATAATATAAACAACAAATACTATCGGAATTAAAATGTTAAAATTTTGAATGGATTAAAATTACGTTAGATAAACTATGAATGGAAAAATTTCAACTTTTGAATAAATGTTACAAGTACGGGTGTGGGATAATTAGATTTGTATAACTGAGGATAAAAACATATAACACATAAATAAACACACAAAAATAAACAAAAAAAAAAAAAAACACAAACTAAAAACAATACCAAATAAAATAAACTAACGAAGACATTGTAAAGAAAAATAATATGGATAAAAACATTAATCGATTAAGTCAACGATTAGGAAAATATCCAGTTGTTTATTCATCTATAATTATTATCCTATATTGTTTATCTTTTTTACATGACCGCTCGTTCTGAAGGAAGAACATCTAAGGTAATCGAAAATAAATTATTTCGAAGAAGATTAGGTTCAAGTAAGGATAAGACAGACTATTGAGGAATGGGCCATCTTATGTATAGGTATGTATCTTAAGGATGTAGGGATTTTAAGTTGTTGGGTTAAGTAATGTTCAAGGTATAAATCGAAAGGTGGGTCAGAGGATGCGTAAAGGATGATCTAGAGGAATAAGACCGGTGGCGGAAGAAACTGAGGCAACTGTAAAAGGAGATATCGGTACAGAACCATTGGGTACACACAAGTAATCATTTATTAATATTACTTGGAATTTCAATGCAAGTTTCTAAAAATGCATGTTGTAACCAACAATTATCTTATAGATAACTATAAATTTCATTAAAATAATGAATAATTACGTATCTATATTCCTTCTAAATGTATATGATCATTTTAAGTAAAATCATATCAAGAAGTTTTAAAGGAGATTTTTCAAAATCATAAACAACGATAGCTTCCATAATAACAACCATCGCGCATTTAACGCCAATAAAATTTAATGCAAGCTATATAGAAGCTGTCAGTGAATGGAAGCAGGGAACGTCACACTTAAAAGAAAACAAACGGTCCTTAGAACGAAGTTTGAGAGAGAAAAGAAGTCATTAGCATTAAAAAAGAAAAGTTATTACCTCTTAAAAAATTCACAGTTTCTTGTTAAAATACTAATCTACGTTTGTTCTTCAAAAGAACGTAAAAGGATTTCTACAGACCTTGCGAAATAACGTTCACCAATGACAGACGTTCTATTTCATAATTAAGTATAATTTATACCATTCAGTATCATATTAAAAATCTAGTATGTCAATTAAGATATATAATACCTCCAATAAAGAATGCGGTTCCTTAACAAACAATGGTAACTGAGTCTAGCCAGGGAAGAGATACTGCTTGGGTGCTATCCTTTCCCATACCTGGCATGTCATTTCCATTACTTTCATCGGACCATCAGCTGATTGTTTGACAGTTTGACAGGTGCAGATGAATATTTGAAGCTAAAATAAAGTCTTTAATACGTAAGCACAAAAGAAGTCTTTAACACGTAAGTCCTAAACACGTGCAAACTTCTTATGAATCAATAGAAAACCGGTAAAAACGGACAGAAAACATCATGGTCGAAAATTATAAAAATCGTCTTTAATAATTTACAACACGAGCTGCTAAAGAAATAAACTACGACAAATAATTTTAATTGCTGCGAGAATGCTCTAAATAGCTAAGATCATCGGTCAAGATAAAGTTCAATAAACCAGAAGAAATTGTAAATGAATAAATAACGAATCAATAAATTAAAATAGAAAGAAACGAGACATAGAAAATTCCACAAATTATACAGGACGATTTGCATACCGGCAGAAGAGATTTATAGCATAAAATTATTTATAATAAAAAACGGTCAGCATTTATCAAGAGAGAAAAAATCCAATTTACATGCACGCTCTCTTATATGCATGTGGACTCTTATGATCATTTATTTCATTTTATTAATGTAACTTTCTAACCATTAAAATAACTAGTTTCTGCAAATATATATATATATATATATATATATATATATATAAGAAAAAACTTTGGCTTTGAGAAATTTCTGCATTTTTTTTTTTTTAAACAAAATTATAAAAATATAATTCTTACATAATAAGAGTTGATATAGAATTCTGTTAATTTTCTTTTTCTTTTTAATAAATACACAATATGATAATTATTAAGATTTTTCAACTGACTACGATTATTATTTTTTTTTTTGTTGTCTATATTACATTAGTTTTTTAAGATCTCTACAAGACTAGTACCAAAATTATGTATAAAGAAAAATTTAATTTCCAAGAAAAATATCTTTTCGGCTAAAATCTGAAATAAAACATAAGGTAAAGTCCAGAACCGTATGACAAAGTTATTAATACTAAAAATATAAATAAGTTCTTTAATTTATAATACTACTAAAGAGCCCTAATTAATTCATTAAAGTGCGAATATTTAAATTAAATTAAAAATTCGTACCTTTAATTAATTTTATTATATTATGTTTTTTTTTTCATTTTGTTAGTATTTCGGGCGTAGTAACAAGTATATGCGTTTTGTTCTGGTGTTATGGTTTGCACGTTGCTACAAAGTTTTTCAATGTTAGATATTACTCCGATGTTTCACAAAGAGTTGTAATTTCTTTTTTTGTATTTTGTTTCATACTGTTATGCACTAAAGATAAGTTCATCAACATATTCAAAAGTGTAACGAATATCCATTTTCTTATACCGGATTAACTATACGTTATATTGACGACTTCTTACTGTCCATCCATTAGCCCCGGCGACGGTTTGTTTCATTTGCTGTAGGTGAGAACGAAAGAGATACTAATTTTAAGTTGTTTAACTAAGTTGGCATGATGGGAAGTGATACAATGAAGGTACTAGTTCCGAAGCACTACTCTATCAGCCACCTTGGTTAATGCAAGGTATACACAATATTTCAGATAAGGTTTACAACAGATAGCACCAGGTACAGCAATAAGTATCATCGAACTGTATTTAAGACAGCTAATTCATCCATCTCTTTTGTTCTAGGTAATTTTTCTGTTGATTCATCTTCGCTGTTGTCATTGGTCATCTTTAGATTCATCTTTATCTGGGAAGTCGTTTGATTGGTCGGTTAATCAGTAACAATTTATTCTTCGTAGTGCTTCTGAACTAGTACCAGAGTAACAATTAATAGTTTCATCTTTTAAGACGATTTTTCTAAATGGAAACTACAACGCTTGATGTATATTGACTTGAACGCTCAGTTCAACTTGTTGATCCTCTCAAATGATCCTAATCCTCTGAGACGTGGAGCTTTCAGGAAGCCACCGGGGGCTAACAACGTGGATATTCTGCCATAGGGAGCATTGAGTCGCTAATCCTGTAGGATTTATACAGGGCTGCCGGAGCGGATAAAGGAAGAGTGGTAAAGGTAAAGCTTTAGAAAGGCACAGGCTCTCCTTTATCCGCGCTTCTCTTGCGTTGTGAACCATCATAGCCAGGAAGCGGCTTCTGAAAAATTTCATTATAAATCCGTCTACTAGAGTTAGTCTAGCATAAGCAGCAGACAAACGAACAAATTTACCAAAAAATTCAAAAGGATTTAAATATAAAATCAAACCTTTGAATTTTAATTGGTAGTAAGTAATCTAGTGAAGGAATGTTACGAGTTTAGTTGTCAAAATGTATTAATATTAATAATAACAGAAAATATTATCAATCATTATTACGTTGTCTGATGGCATTAAGACGTCAATAAAATCTTTATTGGGTATGATTCCGATAATCTTTCTTTGAACATTTTTTTAATCACTATATGATATTTAAAGTATAAATACGTTTCAAAACACATAGTGATTTTTTTTTTATGATTTATTATTACTACAGCGACGTCATTACAACCGCCTAATATGCTATACCCTTTATAATTTTTACTTTAATTTCCGTTCAAACCAAAATGCCCTTTTCTATTCAAAGTAGGATGATAAGTGGAAGTCGTGTGATGTGCTCACCGCTCCAGAGTTATTTTACTTGGGGCTATATCCAATTCAAAGATAGATGGCATCCTCATTTATGGCTTGGAGGAACAACGCCAGTCACCATTCTTAGAAAGTATGTAAGTGAAGTATGTAACTGTAAACATAAGCCATCCGGTAGCAGAAACACCCAGGATGTCGCTGTACATCTTATAGCATTAGAGGATGGTGGTTTTTCTTTTTGTTCTTTACCGCAGGTAATGGATGCAGGTATGATAGGGGCATTAGAAAGTCCCTATGGAGGTTCCTGGATGCGAGGAGCATTGCACCCCATTAGGTACTGCAGAGAGGCGAGGCGTGGTTCCGATAAACGGATTTATTCTCTCTATTCTGCTACGTTCGCACAACCAGCCAACCATGGCATTTAAGCATCCGAAAGCGTGAAGTGTCGTAAAAATAAAAAAAAAAGGAAAAAAAAATCCGTGTGGTAATAATTTCGCAACGTCGGAAACCTTTGTAACTGATAGATTCTAATGAACGTCATTACGATTCGTATTTAATGACATCCTTTAACTGTGTATTAAATGCCCAAGGGTTTATTACAGAAGTCATTAAGTGCAACTACCCTTCAGATAGAGATAAACTTTTAAGTACATCATTTCGTAAATTTCGACCTTGTTAATCAATGCAAGAACTCATTCAGTGCATCTAAATTATTCGAGTCCTATTATGTCTCAAAACTAAGTGAATAACGTAGGTGGTTTATTTTCGAAAGTTTTACTTGAAGACTTTTCCAAATTAATTGACGATATACCTATTCCTAATCTAGAATATCTACAAATTTTCCAAAAACTGCACAATGAACTGAAAGTTATTATTTTTGCGTCTCGGCCGTTTCTAGATTTCGTTTGCAAGGCGTGGTTATGATCAGGCTCGACTAACACTTTTTTCCCTTTCAATCTAAGAATGATGTATTCATTATATATATATATATATAATTAATTAATTACACTCAGCCTTTTAATTTCTACTAAAACAACAATCTATTAAAATATATAAGCCATCAGTATATACTATATATCATGCTGCTATATTTTATAGGATTTTTAAAATAAGTTCTTTAATTTATTTACTTTGGTAGCTTCAAGATTGATTGTATGTTTTAACTTTTCATAGGACAATGGCCTACAGAGCTTGCATATAAGGGAGGAGAGATAAGAGGGAACATAGATTACAAATGATTTCAAAATGTATAGTATTATACTAACTAAGTAGTTTAAGACTATTACAATTTATTATATATATATATATATATATATATATATATATATATATATGATATATATATATATAATTTTATATTTGATTTTGCCGAGTTTTGTTTTATGTACTATTTCACGTATTTTATAGTAATAAAAGATTGTCAAATAGAACTATATGATTAATTAATAAAAGGCAAATATACATGGCCGTTGACCTACCTAAATAATTTTTAAAAACACGTAATAAAATACATAATATTAAGATTTGCCGAAAATTTGAGAAAATTATTTTTTTTTCTATGTATATATATATATATATACACACATAGAACAACAATTAAAAAAAAACAATTTTCTCAAATTTTCGGCAAAGCTTAATATTATGTATTTTATTATGTGTTTTTAAACATTATTTAGGGAGGTCAACGGCCCATGTATATTTCCCTTTTAATTAATCATATAGTTTCATTTTTGACAATTTTTTATTACTATAAAATACGTGAAATAGTACATAAAACAAAACTCGGCAAAATCAAATATAAAATTCGGCATAAATCTTGTTAATATATATTTCACTGAATTTTTTTTTCCCGTAGAATCCTTCTTACGTTGTTACAAATAAAATAATCCATAACGACTTGAGTGTTCCATATGTTTCCAATTCGGATCTATCCAGATACCTATCCTTCCATAATAAACTTTAGAACCACTCTAATACTCTCGTTTCTAATCTTGCTTCCTCCCGGTCCCTTATAACTCTCCCCTCTCCTCCACTTAGGCGCCTGAAAAGAAGATGGCCTCGTGATCTCCTAATTTAGTTACTTTTTTGGAGTTCTACCAATGGGTGGATTCTCTACAAGCCTTGTCATGCCATGTATTTATCTATATCACCTTTACTGAATGTACATTTCTTTATCTGTAAATACTTATATATATTTTTTTACAGCCTGTTTACACAAGTCTTACAAATTGTAGGAATCACCTAATTAAGGGGTATTGTAGGCGGCGGGGACCAGCCGTAGTGGGAAGTATAGGGCCGGGTTCGACTCTCCATGCTCTTTGCTTTACTAGTATAGCGCGCTAACCACTCTGCTATACCGGCCCATATATATATATATTTATTTTGATGAAATTTATGACTGTATATATATATATATATATATATATATATATATATATATATATATATATATATACAGTCATAAATTTCATGTATAATAAAAAAACAATTATACAATATTAATATTTATTTACAATATTATTCGTAACTGATGCGTCAGTATTGTTTTTATTTATTTTGAAATATAATTATCTGTCCCGTTGACATTAATTATAGAGATATGTGAACACATTCACACCGTCAGTAGTTTGAATATTTTTAAACCAATTGTTTTTTTATTTAGCCGAAGGCAAATGAGATGGGTACAGCCTTGCAGCTAGTCGCAGGAGAAAAGGCAACAATGCAGCATTGTCGGCGTTGTTTATTAAGCATTGTTTACTAAAATGGAGAAGTGGAACGGGGTTCATTACCCAGAGCTCGTTGTAGGGCATTGCGATGGCTACGATTTGTAACGCTGCACCAGAGCGGCACCTGATTAAAAATAATGAGTCTAAGGAAGGTTCATTAGGCAACAACGGGTACTCTTTTTTTAGGGTTTATGCATTAACATCATCATAAAAGGTTGTATTTAGACCATCATCATCAACTAAAATATAGTGATCCGACAAAAAACGGCTTAATACAAATAGCAATTATACAGTAAAGTTCATAATAACCAACTCTTCTAACCCACCTAGTGAGTTTCTTACCCCTAGAAGGACTTTCATCCATTATAATCCTATACTTCAACTGTTTTCAAGTCGTATTCAACTAAGATCACGGTGAATTAATATTCTTACGTCCAAGTTAATATCAAAGATCTTTTGATGGAGGTCCTAAATTTTTTCAAACTGGTTATGTTTATCTATGAGTTATTGTTTAATTAGTATCTGCTGGTAAATAAGGCATAGTATACGAGCCCATCGTAAAAAAGGTGAATCATTTCATACTAAGCTTATAAACAGACCGTGTACACAGGTCTCATGAGAACAATTAGCGTTTGCAAGCATATAGCCGCTGGAATACAAAATGGCGGCCAGAGGAATATAAATATATAGCCTATATAGATAAAAAAAACTTATATATAGCGATTTCCTATACTAAAAGATTTTAAGACTTTCAATTTATAGTTTTTACTGTCCTTGAATAGACATGAAACACTAGAAAGTTATCCCATACCCCGAAATTCAAATTAGAAAATTTAAATTTACGATAAGAATTTTTCATTTTTTTCAGTTTATCGCTTTACAACAGTTAAACCATCCGCTCTAGAAACAATGAGGTTCTATGTTAAATTAAATCTGACAAGATTTCTATAGATATATTTAAGAATTGGTTATGTTTATTTTTCCATTATATTGTTTAGTTTCGTAGATAATTCACTAATTTCGAGGGAAGTTGTTGAATATTAAACTTTTATCAAAAATTACTTTAAAAAAATACTTTACTATTTTATTTTCAACCATTAAAACGTTAGATAAATTATAAATTTATGTTTAAGTTTTAATATTATCCAGAAAAAAAAATTTCGTTATTTCATAACAATTAATCTTCATATACCCGGACGTGGGGTAACTCATTACAATTTCATGTATTGGAACAGTAAATACTATACATTTAAATACTTGGTAGCTTTCGTTATTTATAGCTATCTAATTTTATATGTGTGTGTATGTTCTATACTGACTTTCTATCTACATATATTCACCTGATCGCCATTTTGTATTCCAGCGGCTATTTGCTATTAATGGTCACTTTATAAAAACAAACATTAGTATGAAAGGATGAGTCACCTTTTTGCCACGGTCTCCAGAACTACAAAGATGGAGAATCAGAGCAGGATCAAAGCTCATTTTAAATCTTATGAATATGAAAAAATAAAAAATAAACAGGAAAAGAAAAGTATATATAACTATAAATTTCGATTTTCAGTTAAATTTTTACTATTTTTTTTTTTAAATAAATATTTTTCCATTAGCTCTTAGCTGATTCATTATCATGATTGTAATCATTTGAATAAATAACAGAGTTTGTACTTAACCACTCTTTGTTTTAAAACTCCAATCGCAACATCGAATTGACACTCACCTGAAACAGAAAAAAACAAACAATTTATTTCAACAATTCTTTCAATAATAACTTCACTAATAAATTAATTTATAAGTTCATAAATTAAAACTCTTAAGGAACATTTTCTTCATATCCTCAGAAACAATTTTTCAAAAAAAATAGTGCACCCATCTCATATCATAATAAAAACGATTACTTTATTCAGCCTAGTCAATAATTCAATAATTTAATGAAATAAAATTTGTAGTGAAAGATAGATCGTTGAAAAATTTTGGAAAAGTTTTGGAAGGAGAGATTGGGCTGGCAGGCATAGAGGCATATCATAAACACACGATATGGAAGTTGGGTGACCCCAAATCGACAGACCATGATAACTAGGTGTAGAAAGTGATAATAGAGAAAACTGAAATCTCATGTTAATAACGGCCATTACCCGAGTTTGTAGTTTCTTTCCTTTAATTTGGAGAAATTTCTAAAATAAAAAGATACGGTATCGCGAATACAAAACATTCCAATCAAAATATCGCTAGGAATAGAAATGTGAAGGCAAACAGGAAATACTATAAAAACATAAATAGTTTGCATAACATTTTTAATAAAATACTATGAAAAACGCAGGATCATTTTACGTGGTTTAATACCCCACTGCCTATAATATCGAATTCTCGTTCATTACATATACTATTAAATATAATTATATTATATAGCCGAAGAAATAGACAGAGGTAGAACTTCCAGAAAATTCAATTAATGCCATTAACTGTTAAACTTTCAAAATTTGATATTAATTTAATACATTTTTTTGTTATTATAAATATATTAATACCCTAGTCATTAAAAATAAACTCATAGGAATTTTATTTAATAACATATAGTCGATAATCCGAACTAGACCACTCCCCTCTCTTTATTATTCGAAATTTATCCATTAGTATTTTTTACACGAGACTGTGTATATATAAAATTTATGTAAGCTAAAATATAATTTCAAAAATATAATAATCAGAATTTTTTTCTTTTTTCTTGGAAATTCAAACTTCTTAATAATTCGAATATTTCTTGTAATAATAATAATACTTTATTTATTCTGGGAAGAGTCCCTTTAGAATAACAAAGATGGACAGAAATGTGGGCTAAAGAGCATCAGAGATACATAAAAAAATGCTAAGTAGTGAAATAGTCATAATAAAAGTTGTAGTGCTTTGGATCTCGCATTATCGTGAGTCGACTACATAAAATTATTTGTAATTTTATTTTTTGTAACTAAAGTGAAAAGAAAATTAGTTAATCATTAAGGGAAAAAATATAGCAAATTTAAAAAAAAGTTCTATAAATTTTTCCTTTTGGAAAACGACAAACTAAATTTAGGTGAATTTTGTATGCTATAAAAAATATGTTTGCGCCTGTTAACTTGTTCTCAACAATCAGCAAATGTGCTCGAAATATAAGGTATAAACGACATGTCAGGCACGGGGAAAGAAATTAGTCAGCAATACATTTTCCCCGACTTGTTTCAATTATTTTGGTTGTTTAAGGAAGGAGATCTCTCGTCCAACGCTCCTTTAGTCTCCTCATGTTGTGGGGTATGTCAGCTGTGGCCATGTCTCTGATTAATCTGCTGTGATGTCTGCTTAAATTAGTACAAAATCGTTGGTGAGAGATCGCTATATTTTGTTCAACTGTTGGAAGGTGGAGGTCAGTATGTAGGGTTTGGTTAATCACGTACCTGGGTACACATTTAGGTAAATTAAAAACAAAAAAAACACTAAATTAACAGAACTAGATTGCTTCAAAATCAGACTTGGTTTACCAGAATTTCTAGTGACTGGATTAAAAATCCTCTAAAGATTCCTGTTGGTGTCCTGAATAGAACATTAATTATCTGTGAGAAATTAATACGCTGTGATCTTAGGAAGTTCATATAAGGAAACCTAAATTACTCTAATATAATCACATCTAAATTAGGTAGAGGTGATAATTACACAAATGTAATTAAGTGATTCGGATTAATTATAGTGATAGCGCTAGTTAAATTAAAAATTCGTTGCATGAATGAGGGTAGCTCCTCGTGCCAACTAGATAATCCATTTTAAATATGCAAGGACTTTTCTAGGGAACAAACCATGGAAAATAGCCTGAGGTTCCAGCCGTCGCATGTCGCTCCGAATCCCGAAGGTAATGAACGATAACGTGGGTGACAGCAATATTTTACGTCCGATGGTATCAAAACTATAAATTAATTGATGCATTTGAGGCTTATCTTAAAATAAACTTTAAATAGTTATAAATAAAGACAGAATTTGGGTGCAATTGAATTTTATTTTCGCTATCTTCAAAATCGGACAGAAACTAGAATCATAAAGGGAAGTTTCATTAACACTGGTCGGAACTTAACACTAGTTCTATATTGTATAAAATTACACGCTTAGTGATTAATGCACGAATTCCCATATTTGGAAAATCTTCTTCACTAAATTGTATTTTCAATCATTTTTAGGGCTATTTCAATCAGAAAATCTTTCTATAACGAAATTAAAAGACATTTTAAGAAATAATATAGTAAAATCTGAGCTGACATTTATTGAATTAAATGTTTATAATATTTCAATAACAATAAAAAATCGAAAAATATCTCTTAGGGCGAATCCATGTAATTCAAGAAGTTGAACAAGTTTTTAATAAATAAATAAGTAAAAAGAGAAATTTTCTTACGAAATATGTAAACATGGTTTAAAAATAAATAAATAAATGGTTTATGGAATTTCTTTAAAACAGAAAGATGTTTCAAATGGAGGGAATCCTGATGTAGATATGGATTTGAGCTCTTTTAAGAAGAGTTGATATAGAAAGGGTATTTTATATTTTAAAACATATGGTTTATTGTAAACCATCACCAACAAACATTGTATCAAATAAATAAATCGAGGAGATTGATTAATTTTTCTTCTGTAAAATGCCATTTTGCATTGTACATGGCGATTTCGCGACCCCACACTACTACCATCGACGAATTCCATCAATCGATTGAATTCAGGAGCGATGGACAGGAATTTATGCTGAGTTCAGGACCAACATTGATGGATTCCAGCGGAACGTTAATATACCTAGAAGAATATAAAACAGATGAAAAATAAAAAATATGTAAGAAAATAACTACCTACTGAATTGCTGAATTTCAAAACTAAAACACATGTAAATAGAAAGTAAACTTAATACAAATAAGTCGAGTGAATTGAGAAATAATAATACCGTGGTTAAAATGAGGTTATATCCAGCGGATCCATCGACTCTAAAAACCGATGGAGCCGCCGAGTTTCGGTAATTTAAGTACTGAATAAAGGAATGTGCTTAATTCCATCCATTGTTGCGATCGATGAGTATTAGAACGGTGTGATGGACTTACAGTTAAATTAATAAACTTATTCGTGAATTCAGGTTGGTGCTAGTCCAATTATTAATATATAATATCGTAGGGACCATGTTAAAGTAACGAATCTTAGCCTGCCCAACGTTACACATTTGTTATTTTAACATGAAGCCGACGATCCGGTTGATATAATTTTACAAGTAACTTATTGACGGTAAGGAACAATTTCACGAAAACATAACACACAATTTTAGCTCAATTAATAATGCACTTAGTGGTTTTTGGCAATAACCAAAGATGTGCTCGATGAGAGGAGATAAAGAGTTTATCCTTGAGAGAGGTATAATAACCCAAAACAGCATTGACATGTGGAACAATGTTGACTATCATGCTATCAAGTTATCAACAACCACATCAGAAATAATGGTTAACTCGAACGGAGAATGGGCTTACGCCTGTAAGATGCATACAAAGCCTTACTAAGGAGTTTATTCCCAGACTAGAGATTAGCATAATACAAACAATCGGGGAAGGCAGGTCACGTCCCGCGCTGAGCTAACTGAATGGGAATCAGATTGTTATAAAGCCCAGGGCCTGAGCTAATAGTTCCGAGGGTCTCGCGTGTTCCAATAGCCATGATATACTGGAGCAGTTAGTTTTATTGGGGAAAAAAGTTCAATTACTCCTTTCTCCCACACCTGTGCACAGCTTTTCTTTATTTTGAAAACGGTAGGAGACGGAATAGCCCAACAAGACCTGGGATGAATAGCTTATAGCTATGTACGGTCATATTGTGAAATACATAAATCCTATCTTAATATTACCAATCCATCATACCATTATTTGTGTCGTTTAGGGTACCTTTAAATACTGCAAACAAAAATAATGGACGATTTGAAATAAAAATAAAAAAACAGCAACAAGCAGCTTAGCTGCCTACATTTGTACACAAGGCTTTTTTACACGGTTACGTTTCTTGGCCAGTTTCTTGAACTTGATCTGATGATTACGTTAGGCAATCGATCCATGTTAGAAATTTGTGACCAAACCTTAAGCAGCGGTCGTAGTGTTGAGGAAACATACTATTCTTCGAAACATGACGAGTATACCATTATATTCCTTTAGTAATAAAATATTGAGGTGGACCCAGTATCAAGTGAGGTGTACATACACTTCGAGGCAGCTCTTTGAATATTTCTCATAATTTACAAGACACCCCATGAATGCAGTTGAATTAATGGAGAAAAGGTAAACAACACTGAACACAAAGTAAATATAAATTAACGTTACTTTCCTGGCACAACTAGAAGAAAAATATGACTCGAGAAATGTGGTGATCTCGAAGATTTGGTCGAGTAACATGGCCGCAAATGATATTCTCATGAGAGCGTTACACCTTATAAAGAACAATCCGATATCCAATCCGGAAGGGACATAACAATGAGAACTGCATGCATAGCCTGCCTGCAGGTAGATTGACCAGTTACATAGAGTCCATTATGCTTTCATGAATACAATCCAACGGTTCATAAGGATTTGATACACGAGATTAGCAATATCGCAGATTAATGCTTCTCATAACTTCTCAAGCATCTTCATTGTACTGATATAACGTAATCAATGTACGGTCTTCGCTAGCATAATTTTACTTAAATAAATATCGTTTAATTGACCTTTGCGTTGCACAACGAGCTTTGCAATGATTGAGGAGTGTGGACAACACTGGATCACGTCATCAAAACTAGACGTCTTTTTGTTTTTTTTAAAGCATGTCTGCATGAAACTCCAGTGTAACTGAAAGGACCAATAAATGTAATATTTTTTCGAACAGACACTTTGAAGTTCGTATCCAAAAATAAAAATACTAAATTTTGATGAGTATTGATTAATTCCTTACAATATTGGTCTCCTGAACTAACGTACACAACAATCACAAACTGTTTATCCTAAGAGGAACCAGTGGTTGTCAAACCAGCGCTTCCACGAAGTAACATCGTCTGCAAACGACCTGACGGAATTAATTACCTTACAAGGAGAACATGACAGCTGGGAGCAAACATTAGCGAGATGACAGGTGATGAAACTTGCACTAGGACATGCACCAGGCTACTCCACCTAGAGTGCAATCTGATGCAGCGGGCAGCCACTGCAACCGACAGTAATGACCGACATAATGAGCTGGACCAACTCGCTGGAAAGCAGATCTTATCAGCTCTAATCGTCTTGGCAGGATTTCTAAGGTCAGGGTTGTGTGCCGTGGGGCGATTCCTTATTAATTCCTGATCATATACAATTCTTATCGGGATCTTAGTCATTTGGATCCTAGCTCGAATGGTTGCCATAATCATAGGGAAATATGTCATTAGTCTAGACAAATGTCAACCATATGATTTACTACGCTTATTTTTTTTTTTTTATACTTAACAAACTACCTGAAATTTGCAAGAACGAGAAAGGGAGTGGTCATATTCGTTTTACGGTAGAAAATTTAACTTCTACTTCACCTTAGAATTTCTTAAGTATATTTCTTGTCGACATAGAAAAAAAAAAAAAGTAGTTTTATAAAGAACAATAATGTCATAATTGTACAATAATATGACCAACTCATATTGGTTTAAGTAATAACTCAAATTTATATTCTGAATCTATAATTTCTAGCTGAATAAAAATAATTTTCCTTAATTCAAATCTAGATTTGAACTAACATAGTTATTTTTTTATTATGGGAATACTAAAAAATTTCCAATCACGCAATAAGCTAAGCTAAGAGTCATCTCAAAGCTGTGATGGATGTTGAGCTGTGAGAGACAGAGGCGTTCGGTGGAAGCTGGTTGAAGAGGCACCGAGTAGTTCCCAAGTAATAATAATGGAGGGCAGAGTAGCCGAACGGGCACAGCACCGTCGTTGCTCGGCAATCCGGATCAAAAATAACAATCAGCAGTTCGCGACCCGGTGTCGAAGGCATTAATACAAATCAACAGCCAAGGGCAAAAAAAAAAAATAATAATAAAGAATCATCTAGCAAAAATATCAGCTATCAAACTTGTCCTAAGAAAGAATAGATTTAATCCTTAAAAAAAATATTTTTCATGAAAGATGTACAACTGGGGTTTTCAATTTCACCGAAAACCTGAACGACTTATTTTTGTAATGAAAGAGTGAAAGGAACGGAACCTAACCACTCTAATCTGCTCTGTACATCAAAATAATAATTAAATTATTTCTTGTAATTGAAAGATAGATTTTATTCATTTTACTTTATATCATTTTTACTGTATCAGTTAGTAGTTTTATGTTGTATGTAACTATTAAGATGAAGACAACTCTATTTCTATGTGGATTTAATCACCAATACCCCAATAATTAAGTGAAGCAGTTGAGATAATTCTGCAATTAAACCTAATAAACGTAGCATAGCATCATAATTGGAATAGGATAGCATAGAGAGAATGGGTTTCCCCTCGATGTGGTCCAATATAAAGACCCCCTTATCCCCCACTAACAGGTTGCAAGGGCTAAATGGGGCGAGAGGTGGAGGAGACAATGGGACCTCTTGGGGTCCATCTGTTACCCCCAAGTCCCAACCTCCGGTATCTGCGATCCCCCTCCACAAAGAGGATCATCAATAGGGACATCCAACATAATACAAAAATAAATATATATCACAATGTAGAAAAACCTCGCAACACATTAAAATGATGAGAATTAAATACTTTGATCCATTTAGATTACAATGCTAAGCTATTAATTGATAATCGAAATGAAACTAAAAACTCATATCGTTCGAATTTTTCAACTTGAGATTATGACGGTTATTCTCTCCTTTTATTAATTTCTTATTATTATTTTCCTTCCTCAAAACCGTATGTAAGAAAGCTTATTTTAATGCGGGGGGTTCTTCTTGGAATATAAAATTTTCACTCCCACATTACGTGCGACCATAAGCTCAGTCTTCAGAAGGAGGAGGGACGATTCCTCCCCAATAGAAATAGATAGGGGGAGAGAATATCGTTTCGTCTCTCCCCTAATATTTCAAAGAATAAAAATAAAATAAAAATTCATAACAATTAATCTACATGAATGAATAAAATATGTAAACTAAAAACAATTAAGAAAATAGGATTGCCGATTAGAGTTCATCACACTGGCTCAAGCCTTTAAATAAAAATTAGTAATATATTCGATTTTTAGTTAACATATTTTAAAATATAACCATAACACAAAGAGAAAAAAAATAGTATATCATATAAAGATATATATACATTTTTTCTTATACAGTATTATACTGCCCGTTTTACAATAATTATGTTAATGGCCTTACTTATAATTAATAATATATACTGCCAAGTTGCTGTTTTTTTTTTTTTTTTTTGGAGGAGACGAGTAGATCCATCTTCCCTCCCCACTCTTCCTACAACCAAAATGAATATTTTGGGCCTATAGGTCCGACAATTTGGTGCCGTGTTTATCCATTACAGTTAATCCAATTTTCATAGATTATCAGAGATTGTGTACGAGAGGTATCTAGACTCAGTCATATCAATTTCAACAAATTGTATCTATTATTTTTTCCTAAGCAGGCATAAAAGTCTTTTCTTAAATATGTCTCGTCGGATTTGACGTAAATTGGAAGAATGAAGATATTTTTGAAAAAAAAAGATGATTCTGTATCAATTTTAACTAATTGTATAAGTTTATTGAATCGATACATTAAAATATGAGTTGGTCAATATAAAAAAACACTGGTTCGATTATTTTATTTTCAGTCTCAGGCATATCCAATTAATTAAATGCAAGTCAATTAACTATTTATTATGAAAATAATTAAGACCACTTAGACAAGCAACTGCTACTATAAATAGAGATCTAACTAAAAAAATATACTTTTAATCATAGTTTTTGTAAAGAGACAGATGCAAAAGTCCGTGTTGTTCTTTGATGAGTATGAAGAGATGACTGGGATATTTCACCATATCCCATACTCCACCAGGACAATTGTAGCTTGAAAATATTAGAGTAATTTTCGTACACAAATTACACCAAGCGGAAAGATAAACAATAATTACCGAAAGGACAAGTCATAATTAGTCGCCATAGCTGCTATCTCGGAAGGCTCAATGGGATGGTATGATTATAGTAAACTACCACGGAGCGACCAACAGGTGCTACCGCTTCAATCAATGGGCTCCCATACCTGGGCTAAGAGCAAGGACGAGTCTATTCACAACTTACTTCACGGGAAACACCTGCCACAGTCGTGTCTCAAAATAACCTTTCGAATAAAATACATTTTAAAATTGACAATCTTCTTAAAATACTTTGAAATGCTTTGTAATAACATACATAATCGAAACAAGTACAATCAACGTGTGATATGTAAAATTGTTATCATTTTTCTATTACGAAAATAATAATAAATACATTATAAATGGAAAAATCCTAACTACAAAGCCACGAATCTCCAACATATAAGTGAACAGTTACAACATTTCGCCAATTCAGGTATCATCAGGGCAGAAAAACCAAGATCACTTATATGCAGAAAGAAAAAACAAAAGAAAGAGAAGGAAAAAAAATATTGCTGTAGACATCTCATGAAGCCATCCAAATGCATACTGGAGGAACCTTCTTAAGGAAAGAAGGTTCTATTAATACAGCTTTTAATTGAAGGTTATATTGAATTACTTTTTCTGCATTTACGTGATCTTGGTTTTTCTGCCATAATGATGCCTGAATTGGCAAAACGTAGATGAGTTGACTACGAGTATTTACTCGTATGTTGGAAACTCGTGGGTTAGTAGTGGTTAATAATAGATGTAAGGAGCAGATCTCTGTACCATTTTCTTTTTAATCTAAATCAAACGGGTAACAAGGAAAAGGAAATTGAGAGTGATTTTAGGTTGAAGAGTGAAATGTTGTTTATATTTCTTGTGTACGTTATACTGCACTTCAAAATGTTTAAGTCGTTATATAGGGCGTCATATGAAATGCACCTTGTGACGCTTACAAATTTTGCTTTAATTTTCGATCGTGTTGTTTGTATTTAGTTTATGTGCTTGTATTGCTGAAAAAAATATGAAATATGAAAATATGAAAAAAATTTCACAACTGAATTAAATACGAATAAATAGAATAGAATAAACGTCTCATCAAAAAGTTAAACAATAATCAAGTAAAGATAAACTTAACTAGCCAAACCAATTACAGAGAGTAGAAAGTAGCCCAAGAAGGAATTAAGTGAAGTTGTACTGGAAATGGGCTTTCTTAAGTCTTAATTGATTAACTTGCTGGTTAAAATTAACTCGTCTCCCCCCTCGAACAACTTCCAAAACGAGTTCACAAAAAATCCCAATACCAATAGAAGAAAGTTTGAAATATTCAACTTGTCTCGAGTGTTTTCCTCTTTCTGATGGAGTACTCCAGCACATCCCACTAAGGCCCATTACAATTATTAATTTATTAATTTTATTTTTTTATTAGTTGAAAATTAATACATTCTGCCTCATTGGAGGACATTAATAGAAGTGTTACAGACAATTATTAATACAAATAAATTATTGTAGTTCTTTTTAAGCGTCCTCCTTTACTTCTTCTCATGTCTTCTTAGACATTCCATTCCTTATATAAATAATAATTTTGCAGTATCTTAGCAGCTACCTTCCGATCAAGGTAATCTGGATAAACCAGAAATATATATAACATATCCATAAACAATAACGATATAAAATAATGCATAAAAGTAACAATGAGGATGAAATCAGAAACGAAAAAAGTTCCAATCCGTGAGGCCAAAAATTGTAATTTTGAAACATACGTAACCTAACATCCGAATTCTGTTTCTAAAAATTAAACTCATAAAACTCTTGAACCAATAAAAAACTCGTAATAACCTTTGATAAAATTTTTTTATGAAAAAAAACACGTATCCAATACATCCTTTTGAAATCTTAATATTATATAATATACATAATAATATATAAAGGATTTTGGTTACATTCTTAATATACCCCTAATCTGAGTATTATTACACGGTATATAGCAGCGTCCCTAGAGATCTCGAGGAAAAACTAAAACGTTTGATACCTTACTTCTACAGATTCATTTTTTGAATCCCAAAGGACACCTCTGTCTTCCATTTTTATTAATTCAAATGACTATCCTTCCTAATGTCTTAAGCATATTTTAGTATCATTCCTCTTCCATGTTATCATATCATGCAATCCATCATACATCTACGAGGAGGTACTTCAATTTAAATCCTCTGTTCCTTCTCGTAGTAGCCGTTCCATCCCTTCCTACATCCGTAGTTCCAATA